CTGCAGCTGCTTGTGCTGCTGTTTATATCCGCATTCCTCTTTCTGTTGCTGTTGCTGTCGCTGCTGCTGCTGCTGCAGTCATTGCAGCAGCTGCAGCAGCAGCAACTGCTGCTGTTGCTGCTGCTGCTGCTGCTGCTTGCGTCTATACTAGAGTTAGCTGCAATGATAAGACGGAGGTCAATGCCCACCTCTGCGCTCCTTAGAGGAGGAAAGGAAGAGACCATTAGGGTTTAGGGTTTAGGGTTTAGGGTTTAGGGTTTACACAATTAAGGGTTTACTGTCTAAGGGTTTACTGATTAAGGGTTTAGGGTTTAGGGATTCTATTGATTACTATCTAAGGGTTTAGGGTTTAGGGTTTAGGGTTTAGGGTTTATAAATTTGTGTGTGTGTTATAGACAGGGAGTTTGTTTGCTGCTGCTGTTGCTGCTGCTGCTGCTGCAGTTGGGGTGTATACGCAGTTATAATAAATAAAAAAGAAGAAAAAGAAGAAATAATAAATAAATAAACTATTTATCTTATTTATTTATTTATTTATTTATTTATTTATTTATACAAAACAAAGCCCCAATAAGTACCTGCATGCGATCCGGTCTGCTGCTCGGGCTGCTCGTGTCTTGCTGCTGCTGCTGCTGCTGCTCTTTCTTCTTCTGTTGCTGCTGCTGCAGGTATAATTAATGAGGAGTTTTATACTAATTATAATTAAATTAAATAATTTATTTATTTATTTATTTATTTATTTATTTATTTATTTATTTTCTTTTTATTATTTAATATTTATTGCTATATAGTATTCTGTACACCGCAAGAGCAGCAGCAGCAGCAGCAGCAGCAGCAGCAGCAGCAGCAGCTGTATTGCTGCTGCTATTGCTGCTGCAGCAACTGCTGCTGTTGTTGCTGCTGCAGCAGCAGCAGCAGCAGCAACAAGCTTAAATATCCTTCTGTTGTCTGGGCAGACGGCCCTCAAAGTAGCTGCTGCTTAGCGGCATTGCTGCTGCTCTGCTGCAGCCATCAGCAGCAGCAGCAGCAGCAGAATCAGGGCATGCGAACTCTCCCTAAACACAGCAGCAACAGCAGCAGCAGAAACAGCACCAATTGCAGCAAGAGCTGCAGCAGCAGCAGAAGCAGCAGCAGCAACAACAGCAGCAGCGGGACTCACCGCTTGCTTCAGGGCTTTATCTAGACGAGGCAGCAGCAGCAGCTGCTGCTGCTGCACCGCGGCACGGAGCTGAAGGCAGCAGAAGCAGCAGCACAGGCAGCAGCACGTGTTGCACCAAGTGCTGCAGCTTAGGGGCGTCAGCAGTAGCAGCAGCAGCAACAGCAGCAACAGCAACAGCAAGACTGCATGCAGCAGCAGCAGCAGCAGCATTTGCTGCATATACCTGTGCGATTGCTGCTGCATGCATTTGCAGTTCCCTTCTTGCCTCTTGCTGCTTCCTTACGGCTGCATCTGCTGTTGCTGCAGCAGCAGCAGCAGCAGCAGCAGCAGCAACATGCTTCTCTACTAAGACTACTGCTGCCTCTAGCCTCCCCTGCAGCAGCAGCAGCGGCAACGCGCTTAGTCCTCCTGTCTCCTCATTTAGTCGGTCATGTAAGAAAGACAGCTGCAGCAGCAGCAGCAACAGCAGCAGCAGTAGCAGCAGCAGCACAAGGAGCAATAAGATTTTATATAAGCAACAGCAGCAGCAGCAGCTGCTGCTGCTACCTAAGCAGCTGACTCAAACACCAAACCCTAAACCCTAAACCCTAAACATTGACTAAGCACCTTCTCCTAATAATGCTGCTAGCTGCCGCTGCTGCTGCTGCTGCTGCTGCTGCTGCAGCAGCACGAGAGCAGCAAATGACTTACAACACTTGCGGGTATTTTATTGGGTCCTAGTACAACAGCAAGAGACTGCAGCTGCTGCTGCAGTGCAGCAAACAGCCGCTGCGCTTCTACACGTTCTGCTGCTGCTGCTGCTGCAGTAGGTGGCGTAGCTGCAGCAACGGCAGCAGCAGCACCAGTCCCTTGCTGCTGCTGCTGCTGCAAGGAGCTGCCACTAGTCAATCTCTTCCAGTGTCTATCCAGCTGCTGCAGCAATTCGTCCCAACGATTTACTCTACTGTGCTGCTGCTGCTGCTGCTGCAGTTGCTGCTGCTGCAGCTGCTGCTGCAACTGCGAATGCGCATTCCCTTCCCCCTATAAACAACAAAGTTGCACTCGCGCAGCAGCAGCAGCAGCTGTTGTTGCATCTGTTTGTTGCTGCTGCTGCACAGCAGCACATCAGCGGTATCCCCAGCAGCAACACCAACAGCACCAACACCAGCAGCAGCAGCAGCAGCAGCAGCAGCAGCAGCAGCAGACTTACTGTATTATTGTTGCCTCTTAGGGCACAATAGATAAAGGCATGGAAAGAACCTAACAAACTTATCTTGCATGCGCAGCATAAATCTACTGCAGCAGATAATTCCCCTAAGAAGGCCTGCAGCAGCAGCAGCAGCAGCAGCAGCAGCAGCAGCAGCAACAGGAGCAACAGTAGGAGGAGTATAAGCAGCAAGGCAACAACTACGCAAGTACGATTTGGTGAGTTCGTGTTACAACTGCTGCTGTTGCTGCTGCTGTTGCTGCTGCTGTTGCTGCTGTTGCTGCTGCTGCTGCTGCTGCTGCTTACAAGACGTGCTGCTGCTTCTGCTGCAGGAATAGAAGGAGAGAATGCCGCCTTGTCTATCGAGTAAAGGAGACACTGAGCCCTGAAGAACAGCAGCAGCAGCAGCAGCAGCAGCAGCAGCAACAGCAGCAGCATGAACATTAACAACAAAGAAACATTGCTCTAGGTCTCAGGCATGTTCAGGAGCAGCAGCAGCAGCAGCAGGAGCAACAGCAGCAGCAAAGAAAGCAACAGCAACAGCAGCGGCAGCAGCAGCAGCAGGATAACGTACTGAGCAAGTGCAGCAATCTGTTTTGCTGCAGCAGCAGACACGGTCCTCTTTTGCTGCAGTTGCTGCTGCTCGTCCTCTACTACAGGCAGCTGCAGGGGACCTGTCTCCTCATACTCGCTGCACACGCTGCCCCCCCATACCTGCAGCAGCAGCAGCAGCAGCAGCAGCCACAGCAGCAGCAGCAGCAAGAGGGTTGAGGAGAAGGAGCAGCACGGAGACACCTTGAAATTGTAGGAGACAAGCAGCAACAAGACAGCAGCAGCAGCAGCAACAGCAGCAGCAACAGGGAAGGGCTAATAGGCCTACATCAGCAAGAAGGTCTTCGTGCTGCTGCTGCTGCTGCTCCATCATATCTCCTTGCTGCTGCTGCTGCTGCTGCTGGTGCCTTCCAATGGAAGAGGGGGAAGGAGGCTGCCTCTCCTCAGCAGCACGCAGCAGCAGCACTTGGGGTAGCCGCAGTGTCTCTGCTGCTGTTAGCGGCAGCAGCAGCAGCGGCAGCAAAGGGGGTAAGGTGACTGTACACCCCGGCAGCTGCTGCAGCAGCAGCCCGCAGCGTGTAAGGACAGCAGCAACACGAGATAAAGCAGCAAGAGGGGATTGCTGCTGCTGCTGCAGCAACAACTCCTGCTGCTGCTGCTGCTGCTGCTGCTGCTGCACACACCCAAAAAGGGGAGGCAGCAACGTTGCTGCTGCTACATTCAATGCTCTATATTGCTGCTGCTGCGTTGCTCCATCGCTAACAATTGGCTTAAGCGAGAGCAGCAGCTGCTGCAGCTGCTGCAGTTGCTGCTGCTGCTGCTCCTGCTGCTGCTGCTGCTGCTGTATGGCTTCCCACGGTTCTGCTGCTGCTGCAAGCTCCTGCTGCAGATTACCAGCTGCCTGCAACAGCCAATAGGGGAAGCTGCCAGCAGAATCCGTACGCTGCTGCTGCTGCTGCTGCTGCATCTGCTGCTGCTGCGGCTGAGCGAGCTGCTGCAGCCTGAGGAAGGAAAACATCATAGCAACACAGCAGCACACTGCTGCAGCAAATAGCAGCAGGAACAGGAGCAGCGGCAGCAACAACTACACCAGCAGCAGCAGCAGCAGCAGAGGGCAAACCCACCAGACAGCAGCTGCATGCAGCAAACAGAGGCGAGCAGCAGCTTCTATAGATCCGTTTGCCTGCTGCTCCTCCAGCAGCAACTGCAGCAGCAAAGCCCGCAAGCACAGCAGCAGCAGCAGTGAATTATATGGCTGAGCCTCAAGGTTTTAACAGTCACGACAGCAGCAGCAACACAAGCAGCAGCAGCAGCAGCAGCAATTGCAGCAAGAGTTAGCTTACCGCAGCAGCAGCAGCAGCAGCAGCAATTGCAGCAAGAGTTAGCTTACCGCAGCAGCAGCAGCAGGAGCACCTGCATGCATGCAGGAAGCAACAGCAACACGATGCAGCAGCCGTCGTGCATCAAGTGCTGCAGCAGCAGAAGCTGTCCTTATAGCAGCAAGAGGGAGTGTGCCTGCTGCTGCTACAGCAGCAGCAGCAGCTGCTGCTGCTGCTGCTTCGGCCTCCGCTGCTGCGTGGACAACACAAGGTGCACCACCAGGTGCAGCAGCAGCAGCAGACGCAGCAGCAGCAGCTGCTGCTGCACCGTCGCATATAGAGAGAGGATCGCTAGCACCATATTGAGCTGCTGCTGCTGTTGCTGCTGCTGCTTCTGCATGCAGTGTCTGTACAGCAGCAGACACTGTGTTTGCTGCTGCAGTCTCTGTGCATGCACGCTCTTCCGCTGCTGCTGCTGCTGCTGCTGTTGCCTTCTTATGCAGCAGCACACGTGACTTCAGCATAAGGCGCAGCAGCAGCAGCAGGAGCAGCAAGGCCCCTTCCTTGTCTCCTCCCTTCTCCTGTTGCAGCTGCTGCAGCTGCTGCAGCGCCATGTAGACACAGCCATCCTCTACTAGTGCTGCTGCTGCTCTTCTTCTTGTCTGCAGCAGCACGTCCTGTGCTGCTGCAGAGTCTGGAGCAGCAGCAGCAGCTGCTGCTGCTGCTTCCGCTGCCAGCAGCAGCAGCTGTGTGCGTATGCTCGGGCCTACAACGTCTTGCCCAGCTGCAGCGGCAGCAGCAGCTGCTGCTGCTGCGTCAGCAGCAAGCTCCGGGTGTCTGTGCTGCGGCAGCAGCGCAACACTAGGGGCTACTGCTGCTGCCTGCTGAGCGAGCAGCAGCAGCAGCTTCGTACGCACTGCGTATGCTGCTGCTGCTGCTCCTGCTGTTCCTGCTGCTGCTTCTGTTGCTGCTGCTACTACTGGGGCTGCATGCTGCAGGTACATCTCCAATGCCCTGCGCAGCAAACCCATTGCTTCTGTTGCCCTTGCTGCAGCAGCAGCAGCAGCAGCAGGCAGATTTATGCATGCCCTCCTGGTGGTGAGGAGACCGCTGCTGCCGCTGCTGCTGCTGTTGCTGTTGCTGCAGCCCCGCTGCAACAGCAGCCAGAGCTGCAGCGACACATGCATCATCTGCAGCTCCTTAGAGACAGGCTGCAGCAGCAGCAGCAGCAGGGTCTCTCCTGCCTGCATGCAAGCAAAGCAGACAGCAGCACAAACCATATATCCAGCAGCAGCAGCAGCAGCAACAGCAGCAACAATAGAAGCAGCAACAGCAGCAGCAATATTACCTCTATAGAATCAGCAGCAGGAGGAGAGACAGTAAGGGAGTCAAGCAAAGGCCGTGCTGCGCTGCAGCAGCCATTCTGCTGCTGCTGCTGCAGTTGCTGCCGCTGCAGCAGCAAGAGCACTGCTGCCCTAGGTGACTTGTTATCATGCACCAGGTCTGCTGCTGCTGTGCTGTAGAAGGGGAATGCAGCAGCAGCAGCAGCAGCAGCAGCAGCAGCAGCACGACGGCCTCTAAAGGAAGCAAAGATGGCCCCAAACCACTCCGCCTGAGCAGCAGCAGCAGCAGCAGCAGCAGAAAGCGCAAGATTAGGAGCAGCAGCAACAGCAGCAGCAACAGCAGCAGCAACAGCAGCACCAATAGCAACAGCAGCAACAATAGCAACAGCAGCAGCAATAGCAGCAGACTCACTGTCTCCTTTGCCTGGGTAACCTGGGTATCTAAATTCTCCCACCCTTGCTGCTGCTGCTGCTGCTCTTGCTGCTGCTGCTGCTGCCAGCACAAAGCAAGCAGCACCTGCTGCGCCACCACTGAGTCTGCATGAGTAGCAATTGCTGCTGCTGCAGCAAACGGGGCGACACATCCCAGTGTCCGCTGCTGCAGTTGCTGCAGCTGCTGCTGCAGTTGCTGCTGCTGCACTTGCTGCAGTTGCTGCAGTGGCTGCTGCTGCATTTCCTGCTGCTGCTGCTGCTGCTGCTGCCAGTCTATTACACATATGCTATCCCAGCTGCTGCTCGCCTCGGGAAGCCAAAAGGGCACAAAGCAGCGCCGCACTGCAGCAGCATCTGCTGCTGCTGCTGCTGCTGATTCTGCTGCTGCTGCAGAGACACTTGGATGCTGCTGCTGTATGTCTATTCCGTTCACAGGACTGCTCCAGCTGCTGCTGTAGTTGCTGCTCCTACTGCTGCTGCTCCTGCTGCTGCTGCTCCTGCTACGAAGGGTTTGCATGCACAGTCTCTGTGCGAACGCCGCGCATGCAGCCGTTGCCACGGTGAGGACAGGCACCTCTGCTGCTGCTGTTGCTGCTGCTGCTGCTGTTATACCGCTACCTGCACAAATATGCAGTTGCTGCCGCACTGCGCCTAGCAGCAGCAGACGCCACTGATCTGACGACGATAGCAGCAAACGCTGCTGCAGCAAAGTAGCAAGTTGCTGCTCGTGCTGCTGCTGCTGCTGCTGCAGCTGCAGCTGCGGCCGTCCCTGTGCTGACAGCAAGTTGCTGCTGCAGCAGCTAAGAAAGACACACAGCGCGCTGCCCCGCTGCAGCAGAGCAGCAGCAAACTTGCTGATGGCGTCACTGCCAGCAGGATCCATCTGCTGCTGCTGGTGCTGCTGCTGGTGCTGCTGCAGCTGGTCAAGCAGCAGCAGCCGCTGCGACCTCTGCTGCTTCTTCTCTTCTCCTGCTGCTAGCAGCAAATCGATACTTTGCTGCTGCAGCGGATATAGACGCTGCAGCACGTAGTCCTGCAGAGCAGCAACTAGCGGTTGCTGCTGCAGCAGCAGCAACTCCCCGTGCTGCAGCTGCGTGTTAATTGTGTACACACCCCCAGGGCGCAGCAGCAGCGGGACTGCAAAGCTGTGCTGCTGCTGTTGCTGCTGCTGCTCTTCGTTCTGCTGCTGCTGCTGCTGTTGACTCTGTGGGGGAAAGACAGCGGAGACAGGCCATGTCTCTGCTGCAGAAGAGAATGCAGCAGCAGCAGCAGCTGCTGCTGCTGCTGTTGCAGGTGCTGCTGCATTGGAGCTGCGACGCATGAGCAGTTGCTGCTGCTGCTGCAGCAAGAAACGACCCCACACCTCCGATGCTCCTAGCTGCAGCAACTGCTGCTGCTGCTGTTGCTGCTGTTGCTGCTGCTCTTGCTGCAGATGAGAAAGCCAATACAACAGAGAGAAAGAAGCACTAACAGCAGCACGCTGCAGGAAAGGTCCTGCTGCAGCAGCTGCTGCTGCAGCTCGTCTCCTTGACAGCCTATCCATCGTTGCTGCTGCTGCTGCTCCTGCTTCTTCTGCTGCTGCTGCTGATGCCTGCTTCGTAAGGGCCCACAGTATGCGCTGCAGCAAAAAGACAACCCAGTCATCTGCTGCTTCTGCTGCTCCCCCTGCTGCTGCTGCTGCTGCTGCTGCTGTTGCTGCAACACGACCCGCTGCAGCAACTGCTTCCTGTAGCAGCACGCTGTCTCTGCAGCAGCAGCAGCAGTTGCTGCTGCTGCGCAGTGCTCTAAGGACATCAACAGACAGCAGCGAAGCCCCAGAGTAGTAGCAACCACCGTCTACCTCGCTGCTGCTGCTGCTGCTGCTGCTGCTGCTGCAGAGTTCATCAGCAGCAGCAGAGCTCCTGACTGTGTAGTAGCTGCTGCTGTAGCTGCTTCTGCTGCTGTGACTGCTGCTGCTACTGCTGCTACTGCTGCTGCTGCTGCTGCAGCTAGAGATGACGCTCTCTGTATCTGCGGTGTCTTGCCAGCTGCTACAGTGCTGCAGCGCATGCAGCAGGAAGCAGCAAATTGCTTCCTTACCTAATACCCTCACGCAGTGTCTAGACACCTGCAGCAGCATCAGATCAACTGCCTCGTGCTGCTGGGATATGCTGCTGCTGCTGCTGCTGCTGCTGCTGCTGCTGCTGCTGATGCTTCTGAATCTGTCAGATGGTTCCTGTAGCTGCTGCTGTTGCAGTTGCTGCTGTTGCTGCTGCTGCTGCTCCATGGGCCTCCATAGAAGGGTGCGACAGATTATCCACCGCAGCTGCTGCTGCTGCTGCTGCTGCAGGCTTAAAAGGGGCAGCAGCAGCGGCGGCTCTGCTGCTAGGTCTATAGCCACCAATTGCTGCTGCTGCTGCTGCTGCAGTTCTTCCCCTTGCTGCACCTGCGGAGACAGCCACAAGGTGTCTCCTGTAAGCAGCACACCGCCGCATGCAACAGCAGCAGCAGCTGCTGCTGCAGCAGCAGCAGGAAGCACGCAGCGACGAGATATATACACAGTTGCTGTAGGAGAGAAGGAGAAAGACAGCAGCAGCAAGACATTGGACTGCAGCAGCAAGCACCCCGTGCTGCCGCTGCTGCTGCTGCTTGGGCTCAGCAGCAAGGCAGCAGAAGGAGACACGAGAGGCAGCAGCAGCTGTTGCTGCAGCTGCAGCAGCAGCTGCTGCTCCATGCCTACTGGCACAGTATCAACAACTGCTGCTGTTTGCTGCGACACCCGCAGCAGCACCAGCCACGCTGCTGCTGCTGCTGTTGCTGCTGCTGCTGCAGGCTGCTGAGCAGCAGAGCCCACCTCCATGTCTTGGTTAATACAAAACATGCAGACGTATCGTTCTGCTGCTGCTGCTGCTGCTGTTGCTGTTGCTGCTCCTGTTGCTGCTGCTGGTAGTGTTGCGATGCATACCACTGCAAGCCGCTGCTGCTGCTGCTGCTGCTGCTGCTGCTGTTGCTGTTGCTGATGCTGCTCTTGCTCCTCCTCCTCTTCCTCTTCCTCCTCCTGCTGCTGCTGCTGCTGCGAAGAAGACAGCCAGCGTAAGGAGAAGCGAGCAGCAGAAGCAACTGCATGCGGCAGCAGCGCAGCAGCAGCCTTTATCCTTCCTAAGGAGAAATAAGATCCTTTGCTGCTGCAGATATGCCGCAGCACACAGGAGATCTGCTGCTGCTGCTGCTGCTGCTGCTGCAGGGAGAGCAGCAGCTGGGCAACTCGTGGTGCACCTGCTGCTATAGGGGGGCCATTAGCAGCATGCAGCAGCAGATGTCCATCAGCAGGATTGCTGCTGCTGCTGCTACTGCTGCTGCAGTTGTTGCTGCTGTCCATGCATGCATGCGTCCCTTGTGCTTCTATCTCCATCGCTCCCTCTGTCTCCTTCCAGCAGCAGTGAAGGGGGCAGCAGCTGTCGCTGCTGCTGCTGCTGCTGCAGCAGCAAGCAGCAAATGCCCCGGGAGACCCAGCAGGTAGGGGAGGCAGCGTCAGCAGGAGAGGTGCAGCAGCAGCAGCAGCAGCAGCAGTATGCAGCAGCAATTGCTCTGCATCTACTATTTGGATCTGCTGCTCCTGCCAAGAAGCAGCAGCTGCTGCTGCTGCTTCTGCTTCTGCTGCTGCTGCTGCTGCTGCTGTTGCTGCTGCTACAGCATTTCTTCTCCTCTTACAAGCAGGGGGTATGCTGTAGTCTGCTGAATCACCATCATCTGCTGCTGCTGCTGCTGCTGTTGCTGCTGCTGCGCCTGCTGCTGCTGTTGCTGCTGACGGAATGCAGAAGCAAAGACAAGCTGTATATACACCCGAAACGGAGACACCTGTTAGCTGCTGCTCACTGTGCTGCTGCTGCTGAGTAGTAGTAGTAGCAGCAGCAGCACTAGCGCTGCAGCAGCAGCCACCTATTCGCAGCAGCAACCGCAGCAGCTGCTGCCTTCCAGCAGCAAGAGCAGCAAATACAACAGTGGCGCTGCTGCAGCAGCCTGTAATGCAGCTTCTGCTGCAATTGCTGCTGCAGTTGCTGCTGCTGCAGGTAGTGCTGCTGCTGTGACTCTCATCTGCAACAACGCATGCAGCAGCAGAGCGAACATTCAGCAGCAGCGGCAGCAGCACTCTACCAAGCAGACGTCCCCGTGCTGCTGCTGTTGCTGCTGCTGTTGCCTTTTCTGCTGCTTCTGCTGCTGTCACCGCTGCTGCTGCCCGTTCAACTCCAACTCCACCACTTGCTGCATCTGCTGCTGCTGCAGCTGGTTCTGCTGCTCCTGCTGCTGCTGCTGCTGCTGCTGCTGCTGCTGCATTGTCCCGCAGCAAAGACACTGGCTGCGGAGGCGACGTATCCCAAATCAGCAGCTCTCGTGGCTGCACTTGACTGCAGCAGCAAACAGCAGCAGCAGCAGCAGCAGCAACATCAGCAGCAGCAGCAGAACAAGATATGCAAGGTATGTAGGGACCAGCAGCAGCAGCGGCAGCAGCAGGCTATCATATCCAACAGCATACAGCAAGCCGCAACAACGGCAGCAGCAAACAGCAACTGGGGCAACTAGGACAGCAGCAGTAACAGCAGCAGCAACAACAACTACAGCAGCAGCAGCAGCAACAGCAACAGCAGCAGCAGCAGCAGCAGCAGCTCACATTGAAATATGATGAGAAGGCGGAAGATCAATGCCAATAAATCGTCGTCTTTGCTGCTGCTGATGGTACCCCAAGCTGCAGCAGCAGCAGCAAAGGTTGCTGCTGCTGCTGCTGTTGCTGCTGCTGTTGCTGCTGGAGTTGGAGGTGCTGCAGCAGCAGCTGCTGCTGCTTGGTAACCCCACAGACAGGGGAGTCTCTGCTGCCAGCAAGGAGTAGGAGTTATCCATTGTTACTGCAGCAGCAGCGCTACCGACTATGCTGCATGCCTACTATGCTGCATGCTGCTGCTGCTGCTGCTGCTGCTGCAGCACGCCGCTGCTGCTGCTGCTGCTGCTGCTTCTATTGCTACAGGTTGTTATAGAGTTATATTTATTCATATAAATGTAAGATGTCCATTGCTGCAAATAAAACCCTAAACCCTAAACCCTAAACCCTAAACCCTAAACCCTAGCATAATGAATAAGGAGAAGGGTTTATAGAGGGGAGTATAAAAAAAAAAGAAACCCTTATTTATTTATTATTATTAATAATATATAATTAATTAATATATTTATTTCTGCTGCTCCTGCTGCTGTTCCTGCTGCTGCTGCTGCTACTGGTTTGGGGCCGGACCCCCAAAATCGGCAGCCGCAGCAGCAGCAAGAACTGCAACAGCAGCAGCAGCAGCAGCAAATGCCACAGCAGCAGCATCTGCTGCATGCGTAACAAGATCTACTATTTATTTGTTTTGTATTTATTGACTCTAGGCACACAATAATATATTAATAAATTGTATTGCTGCTGTGTAGCTGCAGCAGCAGCAGCGGCAGGCGCAGCTGCAGCAGCAGCAGCAACTGCAGCAGCAGCAGCAATAACAATAACACACACTGAAGAAGCAGCAGGCAAACTGTTGCTTGACGAGATAGTAACAGCAGCAGCAGCAGCAGCAGCAGCGACCGCAGCAGCAACAGCAGCAGCAGCAGCAGCAACAACAGCAGCAGCAGTGACTTCAGCAGCAGCAACAATAACACTCTGGCTTATTGAAACAGCAGCAGCAGCAGCAGCAACAGCAGCAACAGCAGCAACAGCAGCAACAGCAGCAACAGCAGCAGCACTAGGGGCAGCAAATGTGTGTATAGGAGACAAATAAAGAAAAAGGAGACAATTAATAATAAAAAGGAGACAAAAGGAGGGGAAAAAAAGACAATAAATAAATAAATAAATAAATAAATAAATAAATAAATAAATAAATAAATAAATAAGATGGAGGGTATAATGTCTGCTGCTCTTACTGCAGCAGAGACAGCCATCAAGTATGGTAACCCAACAGGATTCGCTTGGTAAGCAGCAGCAACAGCAGCAACAGCAACAGCAGCAACAGCAGCAACAGCAGCAACAGCAGCAACAGCAACAGCAGCAACAGCAGCAACAGCAGCAGCAACTGCAACAGTAGCAGCAGATAGTAGCAGTAACAGTAGTAGCAGCAGTAGCAGCAGCAGCAGTAGCAGCAGCAGCAGCAGCAGGACCGACAGCAACACGGCATACAGCACCCTTACAACCACCACCACCACCACCACTAGCAGCAGCAGCAACACTGCATTTGATTATTGTTTGTTTGCTGGCAAAGTCAGGAAGAATTATTCTCTTTGTGCATGTGTGCTGCTGTTGCTGCTGCTGCTGCACTTGCAGCAGCAGCAGCAACACTGCATTTGATTATTGTTTGTTTGCTGGCAAAGTCAGGAAGAATTATTCTCTTTGTGCATGTGTGCTGCTGTTGCTGCTGCTGCTGCACTTGCTGCTATTGTTGCTGCTGCTGCTGCTGTTGCTGCTGCTGCTGCTGTTGCTGCTGCTGCTGCTGTTGCTGCTGCTGCTGCTGCAGGTCCGTCCTCCTTTACCATCAAATAGTTTATGGGAGTATTATGCAGCAGAAGATTGCCGTGTATGCTGGGAGGTTGCTGCTGCTCGTGTGTTGCTGCTGCTGCTGCTGGAGCCTAAATTGCTGCAGCATATTAAGGTGTATAGGCAGATATGCATGCGCATGCATAAACAGATGGGGATGCTGCTGCTGCTTGCTTCCCCGCTGCGGCTGCTGTCTGCTGCGCTGCTGCTGTATGATTTGCTGCCTAATACCTTATGGCCATTGACGCATTTGCTGCTGTATAAGATACGCTGTATACGTTGCTCATAGCCTGCTGCAGCAGCAGCAGCAGCAGCAGCAGCAGCAGCAGCTGGTGCTGGTGCTGCTGCTGCAATAGAGGGGAAGAATGTGGGACTGGGTGGAGAAATACTGCAGCAGCAAGTGCAGCAACAGCAGCAAGTGCAGCAACAGCAGCAAGTGCAGCAACAGCAGCAATAGTTCTCTATGTCAATGACTAAAGTACAATGACAGCTTGCTGCTGCTGCTGCTGCTGCTGCTGCTGCTGCTGCTGCTCTTTGACGACGTACGTTTCGCAGCAGCAGCAGCAGCAGCAGCAGCAAGTGCAGCAACAGCAGCAAAATCATCCGTAGCAGCAATCTTTGCTGCACTAAAACATTTATAATATCCTTGTCTATACAACACACTCCCCCTCCCTCCCTAGCTAGCTAGCTAGCTACCTAGCTAGCTAGCTAGGTAGGTAACTAGCTAGCTAGATAGATAGATAGATGGCTAGCTAGCTAGCTAGATAGCTGTCTATCCAGCTAGCTATTTTAGCTAGCTGGATAGCTAGCCATTCAGGTAGCTAGCTACCTGGCTAGCTATTCTCTAAGCAGTCTAGCTAGCTAGCTAGCCAATTAGTTAGTTAGCTAGCTAGCTAGCTAGCCTGCTAACTATTATAGATCTAGCTAGCTAGCTACCTAGCTAGCCACCTAGCTAACTAGCTAGCTACCTAGCTAGCTACCTAGCTAGCTACCTACCTAGCTAGCCAGCTAGCTAGCTAGCTAGCTAGCTAGCTAGCTAGCTAGCTAGCTAGCTAGCTAGCTAATGGTGTTTGTCTATGTCAATAAAGGATAGATCATGCAAAGTGTCTCCTTTTTGCAGCAACTTTTGCTGCAGCAATTCGCTCCTTATTATTAGACGATTATCTCCTATTAGTTCTGCTGCTGCTGCTGCTCGTGCTGCTGCTGCTGCTGCTGCTGCTGCTCGTGCTGATGCTGCTGCTGCTTCTCGGGATCCTTTTGCTTGTCCTGCTGCTGCTGCTGCTTCAGGAGGCAGCGACGAGAAAGAATCAGCCTCCTGCTGCTGCTCCTGCTGCTGCTGCTGCTGCTGCGCTGCAACTCTGCTGCGTCTCCTGCCACGTAGATGCCTACCAACTTGCGGTTTTGCTGCTGCCGCTGCTGCTGCTGCTTCGGACTGCTGCTGCTGCTGCTGCTGCTGCAGTACATCAGCTGCTGCTGGACTGCTCTCAAGCTGCTGCACAATAGGATCGTACTCCTCCAGTAGGTCAGCTACCGATGCACCTCTGCTGCTGCTGTTCTTGCTGCTGCTGCTGCTGTTGCTGCTGCTGCTGCTCTGAAGTGTCTCTGCAGCCTGCAGCTGGTACTGCTCTTGCAGCTGCTGCAGCCGCAAATCTGTTCGTGCAGCAAGCTCCTCTAAGGAGTCTCTAAATGGCTTTTGCTGCTGCTGCTGCTGCTGCTGCTGCTGCTGCTGCTGCTGCAGTTCTTCTTCTGTTGGCAGCAGCTGCTGCTGCCTCATCTTCTGTATTGCATAGGCAGGAGAGAGAGGAGACACATCCTTAAATGCTTCAAATATCTCCTCCCCTTGCTGCTGCTGCTGCTGCTGCTGCTGCTGCTGCTGCTGCTGCTGCTCAGCAGCCAGCTGCCCAAGACGGAGATTAACTGCATGCAGCAGCGCATGATAAACCCTTAAATCTTTTGGCGGCGCAACAGCAGCAGCACCACTGCCACTGCTGCTGCTGCTGCTGCTGCTGCTGCTTGGCTGCTGCAGCAAGTCACTCTCCAACAGCTGCTGCAGTGCTGCCTTAGTAGCGAGGCACTCTTCTTGCTGCTGCTGGGGTATGCTGCTGCGCATGCGGCGCAGCACACGTCGCAGCAGCTGCTGCCGCACTTCCTGCTGCTGCTGCTGCTGCTGCTGTTGCTTTGCTGCTTCAGCAGCAAGGGCCTTCGCAATGGTGGCGACCTGCAGCGGCTGCGCTTTGCCAACAACAGCAGCAGCAGCAGCAAATAGTTTGTGCCTTAGCAGCAGCAGTTGCTGCTGCTGATGCGTCCATCCACTGCGCAACGAAAGTGTGGGGTTTGCTGCTGTTGCTGCACGTAGCTGCTGCTGCTGCTGCACTACAGGCAGCAGCAGCAGCAAACAATCCTCCGTTGTACAGCTGCCTATACACCGCAGCTGCTGCTGCACCACAGAATTAGATAGTTCTGCTACAAGCAGCGCCATCTCATCCGCTGCTGCTGCTGCTGCTGCTGGTCCTGCTACTGTTGCTACTGCTGCTGCTGCTGCTGGTGCCGGTGCTTCTGCTGCACTAGTAGCACTTGCTACTGCTGCATCTGCAGCTTGCGCTGGTGCTGCAGCTGCTGTTGTAGCATTTTCAGCTGCAGTTGCTGCTGCTGCTGCTGCTGCTGCTTCTGCTGCTGTCGTTTGTGTCGGTGCTGCTGCTGCGGTTGTCTCCGCCGGTTCTGCTCTACCTGTGTCCCCAGCAGCAGCAATAGCAGCACTAGCTTCCGCCTGCTGCTGCTGCTGCTGCTGCTGCTGCACTGTCGGTTGGAGGAAGCGTTGCTGCAGTGTACATACAGCTCGCGTCATAACCCTCAGCAACTGCGGGCTTAAGTAGGCAAGCGCGTTGCTGCTGCTGTTCTTGCTGCTGTTGCTGCTGCTGATGGCTTGTTGTTGCTGCTGCTGCAGTTGCTGCAGCAGCCGCTGGAGCTGCGCAGCAACAGCAGCAGCAAATTTATTGCTGCAGTGTGGGGCCCTATACAGCAGCTGTAGTGCCTTAGCTATAACTAGCACACGGTCCCTGCTGAGGTCCTCATGCTGCTGCTGCTGCTGCTGCTGCTGCTGCTGGTCTTGCTGCTGCTGCTGCTGCCACATCTTCAGTGCTTGCTGCTCACACTGCAGCAGCAGCGCGGAGGGGCAGCTGGCGCCGCTGCGTACGCATGTAGATAGCAGCAAGCGCAAGCATATGCTGCTGCTGTTCTTGCTGCTGTTGCTGCTGCTGCTGCTGCTGCTGCTTCCAAATTCATCGTCGTCGTCGCTGTAGTCATAGCTGCTGCTGTCCCTTTCTTGCTCTGCTGCTGCAGCAGCAGCAGCAGCAGCAATCTGCAGCGCCTGGGGATGATTAATCTCTGCTGTAGCTAGTGCATGCGCAACAAGCAGCTGCTGCTGCTGCGTCAATTTATATTTCTGCTGCAGCAGCAGCGCGCGGTCTGCTAGTGCCACCATAACCCGATTAAACAATCTGCTGCTGCTGCTGCTGCTGTTGCTGCTGTTGCTGTTGCTGCTGCTGATGAGGTTAGCTGCAGCAGCAAAAGACTGCATTAAGGATGTAACAGCACGGCCATCTAATATAGGCAGCAACTCTAGTGTATGCTGCTGCAGGTCGTGCAGCAGCAGCGGGAGGGAGCGACGCATGCATGCAGCAGCAGGGACAGCAGCAGCAGCAGGAGGTTTAGTTATATCTGCTGCAGCATTAGGTGCAGCAAATAGTATAGGTGCTGCTGCAGCACGTGGCAGCAAAGACCGCAGCAGCAGCACGTAGCTGCTGCTGCAGCAGCAAAGCTGCTGCGGCTCAAAGTAACGAAGCTTATGGGGTACCTCGTCAGCTAGCTGCTGCAGCAGCAGCAGCGCAGCAGCAGGATAGGCAGCAGCAGCAGCTAATATATCCTTATCTAATTGTCCTACTTGTCCATGGAGTCCCTCCAGCAGCAGCTGCTCCTCCTCTTTTCTTTTTTGCTGCTGCTGCAGCAGACGCTGCTGCTCCTGCTGCTCCTGCTGCTGCTCCTCTGTTAGTTGCTGCAGCTGATTATTTCGCTTGCTGCTGCTGCTGCTGCTGCTGCGTCGTCTCTGTGCTTCCTCTTTCTGCTGCTGCTCTAGCTGCTGCTGTTGCTCTAGCTGTTGCTGCTTCTTCCTCTCCCTGTCTAGCAGCAGCAGCACCTGCTGCTCGTGCTGCACATACACCGCAAATATGCGGGTCTGTGCATGCAGCAGCAAAGATAAATCTTGAGGATTGCAGCGCGGCAGCAAACTTGCTGCTGCAGCAGCAGCAGCACGAGATGCTAATGCTAGCAGCACCATAAAGGGTACATCAACACTACTACTGCTGCTGCTGCTGCTGCTGCTGCTACTGCTGCTGCTGCTGCTGCTGCTGCTGCTGCTGGTAGGCAGCAAGACAGACTGAGCAAGGGTATGCAGCAGCAAAGATAAATCCTTTGGTGTTGATCTTCTTATTAACAATAAACAACGACGAGCATAACTATATACACAACAAAAAAAAAAGACAAAAAAAAAGAGACAAAAAAAGAGACAAAAAAGGAGACAAATAAGCAAACAAATAAGCAGACAAATAAGCAAACAATAAAAGGAAAAAAAAGAGACAAAAAGGAGACAAAAAGGAGACAAAAAGGAGACAAAAAGGAGACAAAAGAGGAGACAAAAAAGGAGACAAAAAAGGAGACAAAAAAGGAAACAAATAAGGAGACAAAAAGGAGACAAAAAAGGAGACAAAAAAGGAGACAAAAAAGGAGAAAAAAAGGAGACAAATAAGGAGACAAAAAGGAGACAAAAAAGGAGAGAAAAAAGGAGACAAATAAGGAGAAAATGGAGACAAAAAAAAAGACAAATAAGGAGACAAAAAGGAGACAGAAAAAGAGACAAATAAGGAGACAAAAAAAGAGACAAATAAGGAGACAAAAAAGGAGACAAAAAAAGAGACAAAAAGGAGACAATAA